CTTTTTAGAAATTAATTATAAAATATACAACATAAAGTAGAACAATTTTTATAAGAATGTAGAAAGATCTTTTAGCTTAATAAGACTCAATATTTTAAATATGATAACTGCAAGTTACATATGAAATGAATATTTTTTTTTACACCAAATTATATTTTTCCATTGAACTCCATTGTGGGTTTGTGGGAAATTACTGCATCTTTTGTTTAAAAAAGTTTTACCTCAAGTTGTAATTACAATTCATGAAGCATCTTTCTTAAGGGCTTAAATGTATTTTTTTAAAAAAAGAAACAAATAATACATTTATGTCATTGAAAAATCAAAACTATGTAAAAGCAAACACTGCCCCCATCCACCATATTCTATCTTTACCCTCATTGGGCACCATTTTATTCCATTCCTTTAACAGTCTAGTGATTTTTTGTTTTTGTTTTTTGCCAGTATAAGCAAATTGAGATACATGACTTATTTTGGTACTTTAATTTACTAATATATCCTAGAAATCTCTCCATATCATTACAGATCGATCTTCCTTCTTTTTTATAACTGCACACTCATCTATTTTATGGATATGCATAGTCCTTTAACACGTTAACTGCCATGTGGGTTGTATTTAACTCATGCTAGTTTTGAGCCTGGGGCCTCATGAAGCATATGTAATTCATGTCTCTTTACCTTGGGAACAGTGTGAACTATTTTTCAAGTTGCATATAACTCACACACAGTAAACGATAAAAAATAACAAATTTCTCATTAAGTGAGAAAGGATCGTTTTGTTTTCGAAGTATTTATTTTTATAATAAAACACCATGGTCCCAGGGAAAAAATTTTTTTTCTACTGTGGCAATGTGTTAACCCAGCTTCAGATCTCTATTCAGCTGTTTCCAAACATTTGCTTTTATAAACAATGCTGTAATAAATGAATCACCTTGCACAAATACATGTTTATCTGTAGATTAGATTTCCTGAAATGCAGTTGCTAGATTGAAAATGAAACTGTAACTTTGATATGATATTGTTAGAGAGTAGTTGTACCATTTTTGTAGTCCCAGTAGCAATGTATGAGTGCCTGCAATGAATTTTTGGATTTTTGCTATTTGGATAGTATAGTTTTAAATCTCCATATTTTCAGGTATTATTTACAGAGTAAAATTCACAAATCTTAGTTTGATGAATATTTATGTATTTACCTGTGTAACTACTATTCAAATCAAGATATAGAACATTTCTATTATCCTACGAAGTTCTTCCATTCCCCTTCCCAATATATATGTCCATGCTGCCACAACCCACCCAGAGGTAACCACTATTCTGATTTCTGTCACCATAGATTAGAATTGCTTGTTCTTGAACTTCACATAAGTACATTCCATATATACTTTTGTTTGGCTTCTTTCACTCAGGAATTTTTTTTTAGATTCATGTTATACTTTTTTCCATTGCTTCATAGTATTTTCATTTCAAAATTTTAAGGGGGTGCAAATGTTTTTGTTACCTGGATACCTTATAGCAGGCTTAAGTCGGGGCCAGAATAATGTTCATTGTACCCAATAGGTCAGTTTTTACCCCTCACTCCCTCGTTCTTGATTTCCAATGTCCTTTACATTTCTTTGTGCCCATGAGTGCCCATCATTTAGCTCCCAGTTATTAGAGAGTACATGCAGTGTGTTTTTCCATTCCTGAGTTACTTCACTTAGGATAATGGTCCCCAGTTACGTCCAAGTTGTCGCAGAACACATTATTTCATTCCTTTTTATAGCTGTGTAGTATTCCATGGTATATTCACTCATGAATTGGGCACATAGGTTGACCACACATCTTTGCAATTGTGAACTGTGCTGCAATAAACATTTGCATGCAGGTGTCTTTTTGATAAAATGACTTCTTTTCCTTTGGGTAGATACCCAGTAGTGGAACTGCTGGATCATATTTTAAGTCTACATTTATTTCTTTGAGGAATCTCCACACTTTTCCATAGAGGTTGTGCTAATTTGCAGTCTCACCAATAGTGTCTCTCTGCATCCATACTACCATCTATTGTTTTATGACTCCTTAATAATGACCATTCTGACAGAGGCAAGATACTATCTCATTGTGGTTTTAATTTGCATGCTTCATGGTATTTTATTTCATAAATGTATCACATTTTGTCTATTCTCTTATTTATGGATATTTAGATCATTTCTTGTTTGTAACTAATTTGAATAGAGCTGCCTATACATTTTTATACATCTTTTTTTTTTTTTTTTTGAGACAGAATCTCACTGTGTTGCCCGGGCTAGAGTGCTGTGGCGTCATCCTAGCTCATAGCAACCTCAAACTCTTGGGCTCAAGCGATCCTTCTGCCTCAGCCTCCCTGGTAGCTGGGACTACAGGCATGCGCCACCATGCCCGGCTAATTTTTTCTATATATTTTTAGTTGTCCAATTAATTTGTTTCTAATTTTAGTAGAGACGGGGTCTCGCTCTTGCTCAGGCTGGTTTCAAACTCCTGAGCTCAAACAATCCGCCTGCCTCGGCCTCCCAGAGAGCTAGGATTACAGGCGTGAGCCACCGCGCCTGGCCTATTTTATACATCTTTTTTTGGACCTATTATTCTCATATTCCTTGAGTATATTCCAAAAAATGGAATACTGGGTCATAGGGTAGCTAAATATACATTTAGCTTTATTAGAAACCACCAAATAATCTTTCAAAGTGGTTGAACTATGTTACATTCCTACTGGCAAGGTATGCAAGTTCCATTTACTACACATTCAACCGATGATGGTATTGTCAATTTCTTTAATTTTAGCCATTCAGATGGGTGTGTAATGATCTTATTGTGGCTTTAAATTTCATTTTCCTGATGATGTTGAGCACCATTTCACATGATTAGTCACTTGTATATCTTCCTTTGTAAAAAACTTGTTCGTCTTTTGCCCATATTTTTATTGAGTTGCTTTTCTTATTGATTGGTAGGTTTTTGTAAACAAATTTTCTTTAAATTTTGGATATGTATTCTTGGCAGATACATGTATCATGAATATTTTCTCTGGGGCTATGATAGAACTATGATGGAGGAGAAAGAAAGGAGTATAAGAGTTTGTGTATATAGGAATTACATCCTCATTTTTCTATAGAAGACAATATATAGCATTTTAAAAAGTCAAGAAAAGCACCACCTCACATGCATTAGCTGGCTCCTATCAAAATCAAAAAAATGAACAAGTGTTGACATGGATGTGCAGCACGTGGAACCCTTGCACACTGTTGATGGGAATGGTGCAGCTGCAAGTGGAAAACAGCATGGCAGTTCCTCAAAAAATTAAAACTAGAATTACCATATAGTCCAGTAATTCCACTGCTGGGTATATACCCAAAATAATAGAAAGCAGGGACTCTTTGGCATTTGTATGCCCATCTCTTTGTATGTCCATCTCTTTAAACTGCTATACTCATGTTTATAGCAGCATTATTCACAATAGGCAAATGGTTGAAGCAACCCAAGTGTCCATCAATGGATGAAGGGATAAACAAAACGTGGTTTATACATACAATGGAATTTCATTCAGCCTTGAAAGGGATGGAAATTTTGCTACAACATGCTACAACATGCATGAACCTGGAAGACATTAGGTTAAATGAAATAAGACAGTCACAAAAGTACAAATATGTGATTCCTACCTACAGTATGAGGTACCTAGAGTAGTCAGCCTCATAAAGAAACCAGAATGTTTTCCTAGGGCTGGGGGAAGGAGAAATGGGAGTTATTGTTTAATAGGTAACAGAGTGTGTTTTATAAAATGAAGAGTTCTATGGATGATTGGTGGTGATGTGGCAATGTGAATGTCCACAATGCTACTGAACTTTACACTTAAGATGGTAGCTTTTGTTACATGTATTTTAACACAATTAAAATTTTTTTAAAAATCAAGTAAGTGTGAACATATAATTTAGAAGCAGGGGACAAATAACAGAAGTAACAGGAATAGTTAACTTTGAGGAATGGCTATTAAGGGGGTGAATAGCGCAGGGTTGGCGCACAGTATTTTTTTATTACATACCTTCTAGAAGTATGACTTTTAAGTTATGCACATGTATACTTTGGAAAAAATACAAGGATATATATATATATAAATTGAAACATGGTTAGAAGAGCAAGTAGGTCTATGATGGGCTTCAAAACCAGGAATAACTGAAAGATCTGGCAACATTTGGTCTTTAGATTCTAAGGAAAAAGAGTTACCTTTGAATTCATTCAGTATATATGTATATAAACCTGCATTACTTAAATATGTGTGTATAATTTAGCAAGTAAACATTATGTGCCAGGCTTTCTCAAGTTAGACAATGAAGACAGCAATGAACATAACAGAAAAAGCCTCTGCTTTCAAGCTTACGTTCTAGTGGAAAGGGTAATACAAAAATGCTAATAAAAAAATGTAAATATGATACCAGATGGTGACATATCCTGTAGGGAAAAAAGCAGAAAAAGGATGACCAAGTGCAGGGGAGAAGAAAGGTATTGCTATTTTTTTTTTAAAAAGTAGAGTGGCCAGGAACGGCCTGACAAGGCCATATTTGAGCATAATGAAGACCTAAAGGAAGTGAAAGGATGTTTGAAAGCCTGACATAAAAACAGGAATTAGGCTTAGGCTATGACTTTAAGGAGCAACAATAGGGAATATTGACTTGAAGCAATAAGGAGACTAACAGTTACGTGTAGCTCCAATCTTGGCAAAGAGGGAGTTCCCTTTCATACAAATGTAATCTGAAGAGCCCATGAGGAAGAATGCCATTAAGAGAATAAAGGTGGCTACACTAGGATGCACACAGTGTGGTAAGCCTATGGGAAAGGGAAAGTTGCTGTCTTCAGCAAAGGTAACTGTAGAGGATGCAGGTGTTAAATCTTCAAGGACAAGTAGGCATTAGCTAGGAAACAGGAAAGGAAGGCTGGATAAGAGGATGGATCAGCATTAACCAAGGTGAAGGGTTTGGATTTTTGCTGTCACTTACTAAATGGATTTGGCCAAGTCAATTAAACCCTGTGCCTCCAGAATTAAATGTACACAGCTGGCATTCAATAAACAAATTAACCTATGGTTGGAGCCTAACAAAAAGTTTTATAGTTGCAAAAAGTGGATTATGTAGTTTGGGCCTCAAATGATCAGTGTTAGAATTAGAACTAAGGTATGAAGATGGTAGGCAGATAGATGGTCAGACATGAAAAAAGTTAAAAAGAATGTGTAGTCTTGATGATTAGTGAATGGAAAGAAAGTCTCTGATAATCTGAGATTCAATGGCCGGGCATTGGTTTATTCATTTACAGGAATTCAAGTTCGAACAGATTTGGGAGTATAGTAGGGATACACATACATACTTACTTGTAGATTTACATAAAAGCCTTGAATTGCTGAGATCAACCATGGAGAGTTTTGAGTACACAAAGATCATTAGGAAGTAGTAGTCTGAAAAATAAAGGACAGAGCAGACAGGGAAGCCAAGTGAGAAAATTTCAAGGCTGGAGGATAACAATCTAGCTTCCTGAGGTTGAACTGAAAAGCATCCATGTGTTTATGTGTTTAGTCATATAGAGATCATTGGTGACCTTTGCCACAGGAGTTTCAGAAGAAAGGCGAAAACATGGATTATATGGGCCTGAGAAATGACAGGGAAGTGAAAACTTGTTTCAGTGTTTGCTGTAAGTTTCCTCAACTTTCTTTTACCAGGCTAAGAAAGATTTCTCTTCCTGTTTTTTTTTTTTTAATTAGAATAAGGTGTTAGATATGTATTCAGTCAAGTAACCAATAGTTTTTTCTTTAATGAGGTTGATAATAGATTTCCTAATGTGGAACTATCCTTTCTCTCCAGATAAACCTTAACTTAACACTGCTAATCAGCTGCCTTGAGATTTGCTTTGTCTCACATTTTAGTATAATAGTATGCAGCTAGTCAACTAAAAGCCCTGGAGGTCACTTGCAGAATGTGAACATACAAGCAGCATATATACTTACTGTGTACCACAAATCTTGGATGCTGCCCAGTTCTTACGATACCAGGTCTTTTAACTTTGTTAAGCTATGTAATTATGAATGAGTCTATAATCATTCTCAATCTCTGTGTTCTTTTAGACTTGTTTGCTTTTTTCCCCTGTATTGCTATGATCATGTAATCATTATTTAAAGTAGACACTGATTATGAATGTATTGTGCATTCATTAATAGATTGAAATAAAGTGTTTACACTGGTAAAATTAGGGTGCTATACTGAAAATGGGCTGTGGTAGGTTTGATAAACTACGGAAGAATCCCATTTGAACTCAGTTTACAGGATTCTTGGCTTTTTTCACTTTAATGTCTCTAATAAGAATAACAACACACCCATCAGAACACCTTACCAAATTGTGACTACAAAATTTTATTTTAGGATTAAAAAGAATTCAGTTGTGGCCATTTCCTCCATCCTCCCGGATCCTGTCAATATTTGAAAATTATCAATGGCTCTCCCATACCTTAAATAATTTTATCCGGTTTAATCTAATGCTTAATTCTTCCAGGTCTCATTTTAACAAGCACTAGCTGAAATAATGAGTATTATGCATATATTTAAATAACTGAAAATATATCTGTAAAGAGAAAATAATTCTAAATTTTTTTCATATTAAGGTCCTTTATTACTATATACAATACAAATGCTTTCCTGAAAGTATATTCCTAACTTCTAAACCAATAATTTTCAATTTATTAAACTAGATTTTTACAGGAAGATTACGAGGGTATTGGATAGGCAAGAACTGCAAGGTTGTGCATACTTACAGAACTTCAGAGGAATACCCAAAGATAGTGTTATTTGAACGCATGCAAAAAAACAAAAAAGCAAGATACTGTAGCTTTTGGTGTTTTTTCAATGAAACAAATCTTAAATCCCCAAAGCCAAACGAACTGTTAAACCTCAATAATGTAAAAAATATCTAAATACCAGTATTCATTCATAAAGAAAGCAGCAGGTCTGAATTTGTAGTCTTGGATCAGAAAGTAAAGCCAAGGAAGATAAACTGGCCCATGGTGTACTTAGGTGATTTCCATTTTAAGATTGTCAGAAGAGTGGAGAACTGAAAAATGTACTTGAAACTTTGAAGTATGGCTATTTTTCAAGTTAAGGAACATAAATCTTTATAGTAATCTGTAATTCTGTTTTTCATATCAGTGTGGGAAATTCTCAGTATTTACATGACTAAACTACAGTTATGTCCCCCAAGATGCAATACTTGCAATTTGTGTACCCTAATTTCACATACATATTTTGTCTTTTCCTTTTCAGATAACCACATTTTAATATCAGCTTTGGTGGTTGCTAGCACAGTAATTTTGACAGTTTTGGGAGCAATCATTTGGTTCCTCTACAAAAGAAATTCTGATTCTGGTTTCACTACAGTTTTTTCAGCTGCACCCCAATCACCTTATAATGATGACTGTGTTTTGGTAGTTGCTGAAGAAAATGAATATGCTGTTCAACTTGACTAAATTTTTGGTAATCTCAGACGAAGACTTCAAATGCCTTGACAGAGATCCCAGGGTAATATCTGAATATAAAACTTGACACTGAAATTATAGCTTTTATGGTATTGCTAATTTCAGTGCTCACTGATTGACAAAAATTAATCCTAAAGTTCATTACACAAAAACAGGTTTTAGACAAGGAATGATTATTATGTGTAATTTAGTGGTTTTAACCACCTCAGCGAATTCAGAGCCTCTCTCGTGAATGAAGGAAAGCTTAAAGCCCAAGAAGTTTAAAGCAGATAAAAATAAAAACCCAGCCTACTTGTCTCACCTGCTCTTTCCCTTCCATTTAATTGAACCACTTTAGATGATGCCTTTATTAGCAAACATGGTATGGGGAATAAGCCTGATTTTTAAAATAGATCATATACGTTTAAATATCCTTAGTACTGGTTACCTTGGCAGATAATTCCTCTAGAATTTGTGTCTTTCTTTATGATTTAGAAGAAAATTTTACACCCCATATGCCACATAATTTTACAGTTTCATTACTTTCAGACACATTTTGGACCACAAACACTGATCGCAAATGATAGAAGTTTTAATAAAAGTTTCTAAATTTTTTGAAATAAAAAATTATAGCCGTGTCCAGGAAAGCATGGATAAAGCTGGCAACGAGGTTAGCACTTATGTTAACAGTGCCCCTTTAGGGATTTTTCTCCTGACACCATACCTTTTCCTGTAAGATATCTCACACTCGCCCAAGATTTATAAATTTTTTTCCTTCAATAAATAACATGAATACTGTAAGCAAAGAGTGAAGAAAAATGCTCAGTACAATTGCAGTGATGACAATTCATAGGTTTCATTACGCTGACTGTACATTTTAAGACAAAGGTGAAAATCATTTTGGGAGTAAAAAAATGAAAAAAGCTAAAACAAGTGATCTTCTTCAGCATCTATAGCTCAAAAACAATATTGGGAAAGATAAGAATGTACAGACTTCATATAAAAATACAGTGATGCATCACTTAATGATGGAGATACATTCTGAGAAATGCTCCCCTTAGGCGATTTTGTCAGGTAAACATCAGAGTGTACTTATACAAACCTAGATGGTTACAGCCTACTACACACCTAGGCTATATAGTATATAGCCTACTGCTCCTAGGCTACAAACCTGTATAGCATGTTACTATACCGAATACTATAAGCAATTTTAACATAATGATAAGTATTTGTGTATCTAAACAGAAAAGGTACAGTAAAAATATGGTATTAATCTTGTGGGACCACTCTCATGTATGAACCATGAATGACTGAAACATCATTATTTGGCCCATGACTGTATGTTGACTGTATCTAGGAACCTGAAAGCTTAAAGAAAGTAATCTCTCTCCCAAACCCACACCTCATCAATTATCTTATGAGGAACTGTTATGGGGAGATACACTATTTCTCTAGCCTGACTAATGGCAACAAAGTCCCACCTTGTGCCATTTGTGTTCACTGACCACCTTGAACCAAAAACACCCCGCATCACAATTAATGGCACTATTGTTAATGAGACATGAATAACTACAAAATGGTGACAGAAAACTATAGCGTGGCCATGTGGTACTAAAAGAGTGTTGAGTTCTGCTTTGTGAGATTTTGTGTAGTGATTAAGATATTACTGATAGGCTATTAATACTGTTAATAGTCAAGATTAGCTTGGAATTCCTTTCTGCTTTTCCTACCCAAATTCTACCACCCCTTTAAGAACTAAGACCAATCTTACCACTTCCCTAAAACTGTTTCAAATCTCTAGAACTACAATGTCCAATTAGCCACTGGCCACATGTGGCTATTTAAGTAAATTAAAATTAAACATAAAGTTCAGTTCCTCAATTATATTAGCCATATAGTCAAGTGCTCAAATCACATGTGGTTGGTGGACACCATGCTGGACAGTATACCTTACACAACATTTCCACTGCAAAAGTGTTATTATTAGACAGTGTTGCTCTTGAATCTCCTTTTCCACTCGACCCTCCCACACAACTAATTTTCCTGTGTACATTTTGACAATTTCTACCTATTGCACTTCCAAAATAGTTGTTTTAAACTGTGATTTAATTTTTAACGTTTGATTTCATTCTTCAACAGGTCTAGAGGCCCATGGTAATGAAGTGCTAAATTTTAATTTTCTTTATATATCAGAACATCTATAACAGGCCCTTTATTCACTGGTCAACAGATAATGGGATCTTCTATGCAGGCTTGTTTACTACATTCAGAATGTAGAAATTACTTTCTTCAACATCTTAGTTCTAGCTATTAATAACATAATTCTTCGCTTGGTAGCTATTTAGAGAGAGTAACATTTTCAACTACCTTTTTAAAATTTTTATTTTTCTCTGTAAAGATGGGGTCTTGCTATGTTGCCTACGTTAATCTCGAACTCCTTGGCTCAAGCAATCTTCCCACCTCCGCCTACTAAAGTGCTGGGATCATAGGGGTGAACCACTGCATCCAGCTCAACTATTTTTCTTAGGAATTTGCATTCTTTGTACTTAATGGTATATAGTCTCTTTACAGTTTGTTCAGTGTTTACAACTGATAACCAATGATAACTTTTTCTCTTATTCCCTCTTACTCCTTTAGTGTCACATTTACATGATAATCAAAAGCTAATTTGAGAATATTTAAATGCCGAGTGGTACTAAAGAACTGTAAGAATGCTATAAGGCCCAAGCCACTGTTATCACTGTCTTTTATCATTTAATGACAAAACTATATATAAATAAGTTCTATGCACACCAATGGAATGTTTTCTACCATTTAGTTAAAATTTTAACAGGAGACATTTGTCATACTGAATTTTATTAAAAGTATATAAATACGTCACATTCAGAACATCCCTAAGGACCCACAGAATATACTGAAACTGCATCCTTAAATTTTGTTATTTTTGCTTTAAGAAAGACAATCAATGCAAAGATAATAGGCAAGAGTTGAGCGAATGTTTTAGAAGCATTTATATTATTGTATGAAATGGGATTTAAAATTTTAATAAAATTCTTGGTTATAAGGTTTGAAGTCGTCTTTGAGCACCAGTTTAAAAGGAAACATTTCAAACTGTAAATCAATCAGTATGCACTTTATTTCACGCCAATGTTTTACATAAGACCAACAAACTGACTTTGTGTGGGCAAATTATTCATTCACATTTGAGAAATTACATGGTTTCTATTTAGGATCTGAAAAAGGAGTTTGTTGCCATAACATGAGACTTCAACCTGAAGCCAACGGAAGGTGTTTTAAAGTGTACCCGAAGGGTGCTGACGAAAGAAAAATACAGTGTTATGGAAGTATACACAACTCATGACCACAGTGTAGACCCATTCATGGTGAACAGACAATGTTAATCTGTTCTCCAAAGGTAGTGAAAAATATTAATAAGTCACCAAACAAATGCTCAGAATTACCAAGGAACAGTTAAAAACGACGGAGATCCAAACAGGTTGTTTATATCATATTTATCTATAAAGTGACAACACTAAAAAACACATTGAAAACCAGTGTTTTTAAACTTTGAATGTGGGATATAAAAATATTCCATTAACTTGGGCTTGCAATAATTGTTTTTTAACCAAATAGCATTTGACTGCCAATTTCTCATATAATTTACAGCTGTAATATTCCCAAAAGGAATATCTACATACCATGGCCTATCAAATATAATCTGCATTTTGCAAATCAATACAAAAACTTATCCATCATTTATATATTTTATATTTGTATACTTTTTTAAAATTAGTTTTATTGTAAGTGAATTTAGAATTCAAATTAAATTTGGAAACTTTATACAATGAACATTTTTCATAACCTTCTCCCCATTCTTTTATTTTTATTTTTAAACACTGGAGACAAATGATTATCAAAATGAGACTGCAACTTAAGGCATTTTAGAAAGAAAAATAATTAAGTGCCATTTGGCATTTTATTTCAAAAGCATATTTTGTCCCACTTTTCTCACTAAGCAAGAAGACTAAAACATGAACTTTTTTTTATAAATATGACTACAGTAATCAGAACACAAAAAAGTTGGTGGGCATTTCTTAGATATTTAAAACAAAGGTAATATTTTCCCACTCACCTAGAAGAAAAATACTTTTGATTACCAATTTATAAACATCAGATGTGCTGGCCATGTTAAAAGGTCCAGCAGTAGAATCTTAATTCAGCAACACTTCAGAATGAATATATATATACATGCATACATGTGTATGTATATATTCATTTTATATATAAGATAGTCGATGTATTTAATAGGCATTCCCCCACAAAATTAATCCATACTTAATTGCCAGTTTTAATAAACACTTGTTCACAGATCATCCATTTGTCTTATATGAAGTTAGGCAATATCAAATGTTCTGTTATGGTCTCCGTCTTCTTCAGAATCATCCTCCGAAGCTGTTGAAAGAAAACAGGATGATCAAGAATGATTTTAAAGGGGGTAAGAATGGGAGGTGTAAATATGAAGCCAGAACAGCAATGACTTGTAAAACAAAAATCCCAATTTAGTATACTGTTTGATCAAAATGATAAGTTGTCATGACAGGGTTAGGGTGGTTTGACCATGGGTGATGCCCATCCACAATGCCCCCGCCCCCGTATCTTTTTGTGATGTTACATAGTTTTTATAAAAATGAAAATGTTTAAAAATGTGGCTCAATAGCACCTTCTAAAATGTTTCCGAGATCAATCTGTGTTCATAGTAGCTAATGATATATACACTAGAGAAAAAGTGAATTTAAGGCAAGTGCTCTCACACACCTGAGTAGAATCTGGCTTATTACCGCTGCATGTTTGATGCATCCGATGAGAATGAAAAAAAATGTACATAGAATAATAGGTTATGGGTGTTCTTGCAATTTACATAAAGCTATGTCTATACAATGCCAAGATAAAGCTCTATTTAATATGTCAAAAAGCTTTATATAGACACAGCCTAAGTTAAGATAATTGGATTCAGTAAAAACCTATTGTTTTAATCCCATGTCTCCACACTGTCAGAAACTTATCACTTTTGAAACATGTCTGACCTCAGTTTATTGAAGAGTCATTAGTGGTTCAAGAGTTAATATAAAGGATCCTGAAATGTCTTTAGGAAGGATATAGTAAGTATAAAACTATGTATTTTGTGAACTACTTTGCAAGTGAAGGAAAATGATGAAACTCACAAATATCTAACTAGCACTCCCCCCCATTATCAAGGGCAGAAAGGTTTATGTACTCTTCTTGTATTAATACTGGACAATTTAAGAGCATCCTGCAAATGGAATAAACCTAGATCAAAGCACAAAAGAAGTATGCAATACTTATAGATAAAATCCTTATTTAATAAATAAAACCAAGCATATACCTAGCTCATGACTGATATAAACTCTATCATTAAGTTCTATGCTATATCATGGAGAAATATCACACTAAAAAATAACAGCCTTTATAGGGAACTTCTTATATTAATATTTTCCATTTGGTTAACTCCACAGGAGAGGAAAATTCAGTCAGAACTAATTTCAGAATATATTAATACTCTGGTACTTCGGGTTTAACTTGTAGCACTCACATCTTTCATGCTCACTGAGTTTGATATATTTCACCTCCATCTTATATTCCTCTCACAAATCAGAGACTGCTATTAAAGAAATTAAATTCTAAATTAGAATGTTAGTTTTTAAATAACAATAAATCTGGGGATAATGTACACTGAAACAAATTACTATCATCACATTGGATAAAGTATAAATTATAATTTTCAAAATAACAACCAAAAAAGAGACCTTTGTATTAGCCAACATAAGGGATCTGAACGAAGAAAGTATAAAGGAAAAAATTTTTACACCAAGTAAATTCCCACTGACTCCTTTATTTTCACAAGTACTAATTAAAACTGTGAAAATGTGTTGTCTTGTCTCAAATCCTTTTAAAACTTAAAACTAGTACAGACTTAACAAAAAAGATCTTAGACTACTGAAGGAATTAAAAGGTTCTCATGAGGACTAAGTCCTTAAATT